CATAGTCCCTCAATACTTTTTTCATAGGCCCTCAATACTCAAAAAGTATTGAGGGACTATGATAGTACCTAGGCATAGGGAGATCTTCTTGGAACAAGCGGGGCGAAAGCTTCCCAGATCCTAGTTACCCGGATGGATTCTGTGAGAAAAAAAACCCTCGGTGAGTTCAAGCCCTATTGTGTCCTTGGTACTAGCAGAGTCCTTCAAAGCTTTTTCAACGATATTAAAGGACTCTGGTACTAGGTATCTTCTTTTACTTCGAGCGATAGTGGTTACGGACACCTGCAGCGGCGGACAACTACGGCGCCACGCGTGACCCGAGTTGTGGTCTCATAACATCTTTCGCTGCAAAAGAACCACCTGACGTTACTATGTGGAATAGCGCGAGTGATTCGAAAATTTAAGTTTCGCGTGAGTAAACTTTTTCCCTACTGGAGCAGAGTAGCGCATAGCTCCGCCATCTTGCCTCGTTAGCAACACGGCGAAGCTACGCTGTTTTTGCAGGTGACATTCGTTCTAGAGCTATTTTCTATAGAACGCGGCATAAAGAAGCCGAAACGCGCTGCTTAGGGTCACCTCACACTGTTTGCGAAGTTTTTCGCGCCGCACCAGAATTACCTGGCATCACGATTGTCAAAATGGCCGTATTTTTCCAAAAAGAAAACTGTCATCGCAGTGCGGCTAGACAAGCACTTGTATCTGTCTGGCCGTGGTTTTTTCTTCCGTGTGCACAAGCCGGCTGTATTAACTTGTCACAACATCACCCCCTAGTGTCTCTGACACGATCCAGCAAGAAGCATGTTCACTGTGCCACATGATAAGCAAGAGCAAAACACATTCGGCGAACTTGACGAACTATTATGTACGATGCGAGACGCCATGGACCATGACTAGTGATGTGCAATATAGAACTATACCTCATTGCCAGTTGAGTAACACACATTCCGCTTGCTCTTGTGCTGTGCCCTTTATATTCAAATAATCATCATCATCAGCCTGAACTTGGCCTGTATCAGCGTGGCACATATAAAAATAAAAGGGGAAAGACGACAGAGACGTCTGGAAAGATCAGCCTGTCTATGTTCACTGCAGGACAAAGGCCTCTCTCATGTTCTGCCAATCAACTCGGTCCTGTGCTTGCTGCTGCCATTTATACCCGTAAACTTCCTAATCTCATCTGGCCACCTAACTCTCTGTCTCCCCCTAACCCGCTTGCCTTCTCCGGGAATGCAATCAGTTATCTTTAAAAACCAGCGGTTATCCTGCCTATACGCGTTACATGCCCGATTCATGTCCATTTCTTCTTGATTTCAACAATGATATCCTTAACCCTGGTTTGTTCCCTGATCCACTCTGCTCTTTTGTTTCTCAAAGGACCACTAACATCAAATTTGGAAACTCCGTATGATAGTGTTATTTGATAGTCCTGCATGCGGGGACGTCTCTGATCAATTATTAGTGGCGAGCGTTGCCTATAATTTATTTTAGTTTTGTTTTAGATAAGGGTGAGTGCTGCTACTAGTATTCAGGTACAATCGACATTTTCTGTGGTTTCACGTAGATAGAGGATCACCTAACGTTTCAGAGGTCAAAAACATTTGTGGTGCGCATAATTGATTGATATGTGGGGTTTAACGTCCCAAAACCACTTGTGGGGCGCAAACAATACAGCGACTGGTGCCAGGCGAGTACTATTGTTCGTCACCCTTTTGGCTCTGTTTCTGCTTCGTAGTTTAGTACCATTAAGATGCAGCTGTTATATGCCTCCCTCCTGAGGGATAGTGGCAATCTGCCAGTCATGATGTGAGAGTGCTTGCCAAATGTTGTCCACCCTATTCTTAATCTTCTAGTTCAATCCTGTGGTTCGGATCCGCGGTTATTAGCTGCCCTAAGTAGGCGTAATCTTTCACAACTTCAAGCGCACTATTATCTATCTCAGAGCGCTGTTCTCTTCCGGGGTTGTTGTACATTACTTTAGTTTTCTGCAGATTAATTTCAAGATCCACTTTTCTGCCCTCCTTGTCTAACTCCGTAATCATGAGTTGCAATTCGTCCATTGAGTTACTCAGCAATGCATAGTTATCGGCGAAGTGCAGGTTACTAAGGTACTCGCCATTAACTCTTATCCCTAACTTTTCCCATTCTAGGTTTCTGAAAACCTCCTTTAAGCACGCGGTAAATAGCATTGGGGAGATTGTATCTCCAATGTTATTCAAATAGGCAACCGTTTATTCTACGACCCCCTTTTTTCAATTTTGTTTCATTCACATCTATTTGCCGTAGCAAATGAACGAAAACTTCCTCTTCTTTATGAAGGTTTTGAACCTTCTAGGCGGCGCTCCAGGCAAATGAGCGAGGAGGAAAGGTGAGGTAGTCACTACTTGGAAACCTGTTTGGCTAGGGACATTAGCCCCACTAAGTCTACAGCATTGCTCATTTCAGTATGTCTTTTTTTTTAAAATGGTGCCGATTATACGCACATACTTTAATGTTGCAGCTTAGGGATATTTATGTAAATCAAATAAAGCACCAGTTTGTCGTAGCCAACGAGCTACAGAGCGCACGATGGTCACTTGACAGATTTCACGGAGACGGCAAGCATTCACTTTCGGCGGTGCGGGCTGTGCACAAACATCTCTGCAGTGCATTGTTGCTAGCGTCGTTGTAAACCAAATGCGCTACTCTACTACCTAAAGGTAGCGTATACAGTTACTGTAGGTATCTTGTTCACTATACTTAGGTAACAAGTCGTGCCATCTATCGGGGTTCATTCGAACCGCGCAGGTGCAATCTAGTCCGGCCGTAACCTGATATAGTGAAGACTATGGCTAAACATTGTTCAATGGCCGTTGTTGCTGCTGTGGCTCACGCTACTTTCCCTCTGCTGCTATTAGTGTCGGTGGCCACGCAGTAAAGTCGGGCAATGTTTTGCAACAGTGACGTCAGACTCTATTTAGGCGGGAAATTTGAAGTGCGCCAAAGCAATGCAGAGCACTAAGACGGGATTTTATTTCAAAATAAGCACTTCCTTGGCAGTCCCGCCGTGGTGGTCTAGTGGCTAAGGTACTCGGCTGCTGACCCGCAGGTCGCGGTATTGAATCCCGGTTACGGCGGCTGCATTTCCGATGGAGGCGGAAATGTTGTAGGCCCGTGTGCTCAGAATTGGGCGCACGTTAAAGAACCCCAGGTGGTCAAAATTTCCGGAGGCCACCACTAAGGCGTCTCTTTAGTTAATCATTAGTTGGTTTTCGGACGTTAAATCCTACACATTAATCAATCATTTTTGTCACTTTTACTAGTATGCTGTGCTAATTGTATCATCTCTAGTTTGCGACACATTTCCTTGGCTTGCGTTCTTACTCTATCTAGACGAATGTCAGTACAACATTTGAAAGCAGAGCCAATAGCTGTGACCACCTATCGTAAGTACAAGCAATTAGGAAGAACAGCGAAACCACCCTCCTTATCTGACGGCATGACACAAAGTTCATTGTCTCTAAGAAACTTGGCCGTCTTCCGCAACGGAAGGTCGGTGCTGGTAGGCTTACCCCGTAGGAACACGTCGACGCCTTCTGAGATGCATCTGTCCGAATCCTCTGGTGAGGCGCGGCCAGCAACAGAGCGTTATGTGGGAACGACCGAAAGGTGTCTGAACGATCGACTGAGAGAACACGCTGACAATGTTTGAAGCGGGAAAGATGGTTTTCTTGCTCAGTACTGCATTGAGTACAACTGTGTGCCCCTTTTCAAGGACACAGTGACTGCTGTATAAGCACATAAATGAGCGCAGCCGAGTTATCGTCGAGGCCGCGCAGATGGAACGCGAACATGTGTCATGTATTAGCAAGCCCTCCATGTCTCTGTCCGAGAAAGAACTAAGGTTCCTCGAAGGTTTCGGTGTGCGCAAACTGTTCTATTTCTTTTACTTTTCTGTTTCGTTTTCTTAGAGACTTTTCTTTGCCTTTTTCTGTGCTTTTGTGTTTTCCCCTCACTCATGCATTGCTCTTTGCGCCACATGGTTTTTATTTACATGGTTTACTGTCTTCTCTATATGTTTTCGCGCTCTGCACAAAACTAGGTTGAAAGTTAGCGCTCGTGTCCTTCTTGTCTCTTGGTCGTCATTCTGTTCTCGCGCTATAAATATCGTCTACCGACCATCCTTGTTTTCTGACTGACTCGACGTGTACAGTCTTTTCTTGTTCTTTTCTTTCTCCTTTTTCTTTTTTTCTCTTCGCCTGCTGTACAAAGTGAAGTGTTTACGCTCGCCTACAACTTGAAGGCCAATGAAGCGAAACGAATGAAGATAAAAGGTGAAAGTGGATCAACCAATTAAGGGGACACTCTTCCCTTCAAACGCGGTGGCGCGGGCCCCTTCCGCCACCGCGGCGGCAATCTTGGATGGCCCCACACACGTCGAGAATTGGCCAGCACAGGATGAGAACCTGATGTGGTCTTACACCGACTTCTGGTTTTGTGCTCAGAAGTGTAGCAGCTTGGGCTAGTTGGTATGGCATGACGATAGTTATAGCGTGAGAACAAAACGACGACACCCTTCGTGTCTTTCTTGTCTCTGCGTCGTCGTTTTGTTCTCGCGCTATAACTATCGTTTTGTGCTCAGCATTTACAGTTCTTTTTTCACTCTAGCAAACGTCTTTCAAGGCGAGAGGGATGCGGCAGCAAACAAGTTTGAACGTCTACGTTAGTCTAACTCATTCTCTGACGAAGGGAGGTTCCCTCCCAAAACTGCTACGAAATAAATATATTTATCCTTGTTGACAACGCTTTCGTTGTGTTATATCCCATATATTCATCAAGAGGAACTGACCCATTGAAATAATACTTTCAGTGGCTTGAACCATGGCTGCCAACACATCAACGAAGCAGTGGTCACGAAGATACTCAAATTACTCTACGAAGTGTGCCGTCATCGGGGACTCTATCATGCAGTATGTCTAACGAACGACTCGACGACGCCGTGCTTCATCTATTATGACGGTGCTATGTTTCCGGATGTACCTGCACTGCTTGGGTACCTACCGGACCAGGTGGACACGTTGTTTCTGCATGTGGGCACCACAGACATCATGAAAACAGGCTCTTCAAGGCCACTGGACTCATTGAGGGAGGCGTTGCAACGGGTGAGGCAGATGCGCTCGAATATCACGATACTGCATGTTAGTCTGCCACTGCCTCGTGCACCCGATCGCCGATGACGTGACTCGAACTGGCGATCACTGTCTGGGTTTATTAGGGGGGTACAACAATTCATCAGAGAGGCCCGCCGTCTTTGCCAAGACGGGTTGTTGGGAGCAGGCGTCTAGTATGTAGAACATGGTTCCTCAACACTCCCGCTGTGCCGCTTCCTGGCTGCTGACGGCTTACATGCGAACTTCGAGGGAGTCGCGCTGCTGGCACAGCACACGAGAGTACAGCTACGATGGACGTCAGTGGCATGGAGATAGGCGGCAACCGCATGCACGGCCAACCCCTGTGCCAAGCCCACTCAACAACAGGGAGCCGAGGGACACACAGAAGCTTCCAGGGCCCCAGCAGTGACGACGTAGCCACTCCCACCACCGAGGCGTGACACCAGGTGATTGATTGATATGTGGGGTTTAACGTCCCAAAACCACTATATGATTATGAGAGACGCCGTAGTGGAGGGCTCCGGAAATTTAGACCACCTGGGGTTCTTTAACGTGCACCCAAATCTGAGCACACGGGTGACACCAGGTGGATGAACGCGGCAAAGACTAGGGTGGCTGCTTTCAAATGACACGCGGAAACAAAGGGTACGGGCAGTCTCAAACACGCATGGTCCCAGTCATTTCTATCGATTAGGAAAAGAATTGAAAAACGGGTGCAATACGAAAAAGATGTGGAGCAATTAACCAAATATCTATCTCACCAAATTGCACCTAAGGGCCTCCGCCTAGCCTGCAACCGCTTAATGTCTCTACTAATTGAAGCAGAGAGAAGTGGGGAAAAAATATTACTAGTAGCGTCCTTGCAACTGACTCGGGTCATTGCGGACAATAGTGAGCGTAAGGCCGCCGAATACAACGTCGCGGAGGTTACGCAGATATTGGTATCTAATCTCGGAGAGCATGAGGCAAGAGAACTGGAAAGATATGAACTAAATAAACACAGGCGAAACTTCAATAGTAAAACTTAGTAAATTTTATAGGCACAGGAGAAGCTCCACTGCTTGGCTACAGGAAAATGGGAATGAGACCCTACAAGAACGCCAGGGACCATGCATACCACAACCTATATTTGAAGGGAAATATGGGAACGCGGAACTACAGCGTAATCTCAATCGAAACAGCCTGACTCTCGAATATGACGGTGACACTTTCATGCCACGGGATAGCCGAGAGCTGCCAAAAACTTATGAGAACAATGCCTTCAATCTGTCCAATACAACGCTTACATCCGCTAAGCTACAACTTTTGTCGAGAGGCTTAACCTTTCGTCTATCATACGGTAGATTCAATGAATTTGAACCGTACTAAGACCTCGATAACTGCGCGTAATCTTTGCCTCCGTGAATACTTTCATAATCGGAAGGACTGTACGGACAAGAATAGAGTGATTGGTGGCGACAAATCATGGAAGCGGCGAAGGCGACATAACGCCTGTAGGAAGGGTAGTGAGGGCGAGATGTAACCACTCTCCCACCTTTGTAACTAGGAGTGGTCCAGGGGCCTTACAAGTGTGACACGCTTTTTCGTTCGCAGGTGATCAGCGCCCTCGCTCTTCTCGTTGCCGCGTGCACGTCCGTGCATGCTGGTGTTGTGGCTGCGCCCGCAGTGGCGTACGCTGCGCCCCTGGTTCACGGCTATGCCGTGGCTCCCGTAGCCACGTCGTACGCGACCAAGACGGTGCACTCGGTGGCGCCCGTGCTGGCTGCTGCGCCCCTGAAGGTCGCCGCGCCCGCCGTCTACGCGCCCGCCGTTAAGGTGGCCGCGCCAGTGGCGTACGCTGCCCCCGTAGTGAAGGCTGTGGCCCCGGCTTACCCTGCGCTGGCCCTCGGTTATGGCCACGGTAATGGACATGGCTACGGCCACTAGGCTACGGCATTGCGCCCGCCTACGGCGCCATCGCCTACGCAGCACCCGCCGCTAAGCTCGTCGGACCAGCCTACGCGGCGGCACCTTACTACGCCGGGTACAAGCACTACTAAACCACCCCTGAAAAGCGGTGATGACAAGTGGTTCAACTCGCCACTTAACGCAGAAGGGTGATAGAAAATGACTTCTGTTGTTTGCAGAAAAAAACGAGAAAGAGAGCGAAAGAGAAAAAAAAGAAAAACAAAATACTCGGAATTATGAGATATGAGTAAATGCTTTATAGTTAAAAAATAATGCGTGTGAATAAAATGTGTTCCGTGTGTCCAAGTCAGCAGAGGGACAAACACCTCGATATGTATATATCAGCTGTTCAAAAATACATCATCAGAGCGTATAAAAAATCGGCCATCTAGAAATAACCTTTCAAAATCAGAATGAAGGGCACTCGATGAACTACGAAAAAACGCTGAAATTTCCATCAAACCTCCTGATAAAGGGGGCTGCATAGTAATTCTAGACACGTCGGACTACCTAAAGGAAGGAGAACGACAACTATCAGACAAAAATTTCTACAAAAAACTCCTAATGGATCCCACTCCCGAATATGAAAGCAAGATCAAAGGAACCCTAAATAATCTTCGCCGGGACAAGAAAATTTACCGCCAAATGTTAAAAGCAATGTTACCGACCCATTCTGTTTTCGGTCGATTCTATTTGCTCCCCAAAATACACAAGGCATTGCAAAACGGGTATTCCATATTCTCGGGCCTACCGGTACCGAAGAATATGCACCGATATACAGGAATTCGACAGACACGCAGAGCACCTAAAGCATTCACTATTGCAACAAAATTATCCCGAAGACATTATTGACGTTGCCATACTACGTGCTCGCAACGTGAATTGGAATAATATAATTAAGGGCCCAAAAAGAGTACCAAAAACGACTTCCCAAACAAACCTTGTACTAACTTACTCTTCAACAGTGTCACGAGTCAACAACGTACTTTCCCGCGATTTCAACATAATCAGGCAAAGCAAACGACTAACTTCAATTTTAGCGGAGCCACTTCACGTGATAAAAAACCACAGGGATAAAAAGCTGAAGGACATTCTTGTCAGAGCAAAAAGAAGCCCCTCCGAAATTCAGTCAAGGTGCCGTCCCTGCAGAAAAGCTCGCTGCAAGGTATGCCTAAAGATGATCACAACATGTGAATCAAAGGGAACTTCTCAGACTTCAAATTCTGCATAACTGAAAGCCCTAATTGTGACTCCATCATCATCATCAGCAGCAGCAGCAGCAACAGCCTGACTACGCCCACTGCAGGGCAAAAGCTTCTCCATGATCCGCCAATCAACCCGGTCTTGTGCTTTCCGTTGCCACGTTATACCCGCAAACTTTTTAATCTCATAGGCCCACCTAACTTTCTGTCTCCTCTTCCTGCGTTTGCCTTCTCTGGAACTTACTCTTCATCAGTGCCACGAGTCAACAGCGTTTTTTCCCACCATTTCAACATAACAGGCAAATCAAACGAATAACTTCAATCTTCGTGGAGCCACCTCACGTGGTGTACCGCAGGGATAAAAACCTGAAGGACATTCTTGTCGAAGCAAAAACAAGCCCCTCCAAAGTTCAGTCAAGGTGCCATCCCTGTGGAAAAGCTCGCTGCAAGGTATGCCTAAAGATAATCACAACACGTGAATCAAAGGGAACTTCTCAGACTTCAAATTCTGCATAACTGAAAGCCCTAATTGTGACTCCATTATCATCATCATCAGCAGCAACAGCCTGACTACGCCCACTGCAGGGCAAAAGCTTCTCCCATGATCTGCCAATCAACCCGGTCTTGTGCTTTCCGTTGCCACGTTATACCCGCAAACTTTTTAATCTCATAGGCCCACCTAACTTTCTGTCTCCTCTTCCTGCGTTTGCCTTCTCTGGAACTTACTCTTCATCAGTGCCACGAGTCAACAGCGTTTTTTCCCGCGATTTCAACATAATCAGGCAAAGCAAACGACTAACTTCAATTTTAGCGGAGCCACTTCACGTGATAAAAAACCACAGGGATAAAAAACCTGAAGGACATAACAGGCAAATCAAACGAATAACTTCAATCTTCGTGGAGCCACCTCACGTGGTGTACCGCAGGGATAAAAACCTGAAGGACATTCTTGTCGAAGCAAAAACAAGCCCCTCCAAAATTCAGTCAAGGTTCCATCCCTGTGGAAAAGCTCGCTGCAAGGTATGCCTAAAGATAATCACAACACGTGAATCAAAGGGAACTTCTCAGACTTCAAATTCTGCATAACTGAAAGCCCTAATTGTGACTCCATTATCATCATCATCAGCAGCAGCAGCAGCAGCCTGACTACGCCCACTGCAGGGCAAAAGCTTCTCCCATGATCCACCAATCAACCCGGTCTTCACTCTCCGTCTCCCCTTCGTACATTTGCCTTCACTGGGAATCCAGTCAGTTACCCTCAATGACCACCGGTTATCCTGCCTACGTGCTACGTGTCCGGCCCATGTCCGTTTCTTTTTCTTGATTTCAACTATGATATCCTTAACCCGGGTTTGTTTCCTGACCTACTCTGCTCTCTTCTTGTCTCTTAAGGTCACACCTCTCATTTTCCTTTCCATTTCTCGTTGTGTCGTCCGCAATTTAAGCTGAACTCTCTTTGTAAGCCCCCAGGTTTCTGCTCCATAGGTAAGTAATGACAAGATGCAACTATTATATACCTTCCTCTTGAAGGATAGTGGCAATCTACCTGTCATAATTTGGGAGTGTTTGCCAATTGTGCTCCACCCTATTCTTATTCTTCTAGTTACTTCGATCTCGTCGTTCGGCTCTGCGCTTATTACCTTTCCTAAGTAGACACACTTCCTAAGAACTTCCAGCACCTCTCCACTTATCACAAAGGTCTAATTTCTGCCCATATTGTTGCACATTACTTTATTTTTGTGTATATTAATTTCCATACCTACTTTCCTGCTTTCCGTGTCCAGTTCAGTAAACATGAACTGTAATTCGTCCCCTGAGTTATTCGTGAAGGCAATGTCATCGGCGAATCGAGGGTTACTAAGGAACTCTTCATTAACTCTTATTCCGAATTCTTCCCAGGTTAGGGTCCTGAATACCTCCTCGAAACACGCGGGGAATAGCATTGGAAAGATCGTGTCTTCCTGCCTTACACCCTTCATTATTGGAATTCTTTCACTTTTTTATGGACAACTATGGTGGCTGTGGATCTTCTGTAGATTTCTTCCAGTATGTTTATGTAGGGTTCTTCGATGCCCTGATTCCGTATTGCCTGCATTACTGCTGATGCCTCGACTGAGTGAAACGCATTCTCGTAATCTATAAAAGTGATGTGTAGTGGTTGGTTGTATTCAGCATATTTCTCTATTACCTGATTGATAGTATGAATATGGTATACCCTGGAGTGGCCGATACGAAATCTTGCTTGGTCTTTTGGCTAATTGAACTCTAATATCATCCTAATCCATTAGCTATTATTTTCGTAAATACTTTGTAAAGAACGAAAAGTAAGCTGATTGGCCTGTAATTTTTCAAGTCCAGTGTCTCTTTTAAGGATTAAGATGAGGTTCGCGTTCTTCCAAGATTCTAGTACCCTTCCCGACAAGAGACACTTTGTATTGCTACTTGGCTGCTAGGTACGGCGAACACAAGCCATGGCTGCCCGCTAGAATGGTAGACGATGTTCTGGGGCAGCGCGCGTTCTGGTTAGTTGTTGATTACTGAAGCAGCCATTTTGCCAGTTTTTGGTGCGTCTCCCTACCGGCTCAGTTCTTCCGAGTTGAAGACCTTTTGTAGCACGTGACATCTGGTGGAACTGCTGGGTAACACACAGCCGATGTTCTAAACGCCTCCAGGTAGCCCTGTACCTGCAGTGACAACACCTGCTCACCGCTCAAGCCGAACACTGCGAGGACTACTTCCTGAGCGTGGACATCTTCTTCGAGATGACGTCTGTCACACCCCCGAACGCTAGGGAAGGCGCTGCAGCCCCCAACGCACTGGAAAGCGCTGCAGCCACGCCTCATACGCCGTGGAAGCCACGTGTGCCGAAGGTGTTCCACGGTTCCGTCTTGGAGGATGTCGAAGACTGGCTGGCTCAGTTCGAACGGATCTCCGATTACAATGACTGGACCAACTTGGACAAGATGAGGAACGTGTATTTCAGCTTGGAGGACGGAGCTCGTACTTAGTACGAAAACCGTGAGCCTTTTCCCTCGTGGAGCGTCTTTCGTCGATGCTTGCTGGCAAGTTGGGCCAATCCTGATTACCGTGAACGAGCCGAGCGAGCAATTCAGTGGCGCCTCCAAATGCCGAATGAAAGTGTCAAGATGTACATCGAGGACATGACGAGCCTTTTTCGTCGAGCCGACCCCGAAATGGCAGAAGAAAAGAAGGTCCGTCATTTAATGCGAGTGAAGGAGCAGCTTTTCGCTGTCCCCCAAAGACCGTGGCGGAATTTTCGACCGAAGCCACAACCATGCAACAAGTGCTGCAGCAGCGCTCTACTGTGTACGACAGGCAAGTGAGTGTCGCTTCATCAGTAGGTGAGATCGGAGGTGCAGGAAGCAGCATCAACATCGAGTCTCTCTGCGACCTAATTCGATAGGTGGTACGCGACGAACTACAAAGGATCAGTGCCAGTCCTAACCTACTGCAGGGTCTATTTGCAGCCTCGTCAAAAACGAAGTACGACAGGCTCTCCAAGTTCCGCCTTCCAGTTATGTTCCGCCTGTCCCGATGGAGCCGAATCGTGCATCATACGCAGAAGCTGTCAGTCGATATATTCCTCTTTCCCCACGCTTCGTTAATCCTGTGCCCCTGGATACACTTCCTTCGCTGAAGCTAATTCAGCACTTGGAAAATTGACAGCCGCTTGGCAAAAAAACTGAAGTATGGCGCATACCGGTCAGACGATCATTGTGTTATCTCGGTGGTAAAGCTGGACATGTGTACCGAAAATGTCCCCATCGTCGCCTCGGACTACAGGGTTTTGCCGTCGACTCGCCACGGCCGAGATTCGGCGAAATACCGAAAGCTATTGAAGACTACCTTTCACAACAGCGCATGCCACTGCGGCGGCAGTCGCGGTCCCCATCCCCAAGGCGATCTTCTCCAAATTTTCGGAGCCTCCCAGGGGCTGCGCCGGTGCGCTCGCCAAGCCCTATA